GTCAATAACCGTCATACGAAATATCAATTATATTCAGGAATCCCATTTTAGATGAGCATTAATTTGGTATATAATTCATTTTTATATCATTTGTATTTTGAGCTTTACTCCCCTGAAAAAGCATGTTTTACAACTCTGTACAAGCATTAAGTGACAACTTATACAATTGTTTAATGCGATTGATTTTTGTGATGATATTACTGTCTTTCACCGTATTCGGCTCTGTACTTTGCCGTCCATTTTTGCAAACGATCAATATGCATGGATATGAATGGACCGTACCGAACGAACCCGGATGGGAACCAGGTCGGAGAAGTCTCTCACCGCATTACCATTCTATTATGTTAAACTGTTTCAATTATCTATTTTAGTACTACATGAAGCAGCTCCAATTCAAAGTTATTATCTACGTAACTGTAATTCAATAAAGGAGTGTAAAATTGCTGCTGGACTATTGCGACAAGTGTTTCTAAAATATCCCGTATCGAAAAAATACTATGATGGATCAAGTAATGTTGTTGATACAATGTTCAAATGGGGATGAATGACTCAGTATTGTTTCGCCAAATGTATTATCATTAAAAAAGTTTTAGTCATAGTTTGATGATATGTTTAAAGATTTATAGTTGTAATAAATTACTAGCAGCATTTAAAGCTGTGTCCTCTGGTTAAGCGCTCTCTGTTGGTATCTTGGCATCAACACATGTACTAGAGAAATTACTTCACGATAAATAGGTTTTGAGAAGAACCATCAAAAACGTCGTGTAAAATGTACCACATATACATCGCACAAAAATATCATGTATAGAACATTCTTAGTGTTTCTAAATAGCGTAAGCAGTGTACTACAGTACAAGAGCAGAATTGTATATTTACTTCAGACAATATGAACACCGTTCGTATAAAAATAGCTCACGTTCACGAGTGGTTTAGCGTTCACGTTCAAGGAACAAAACGTGAACTTTTACAGGCCTAGTTCGTACACTTTCTTTGTTGGGATTAGCTACAAATCTTCAATCTATATGAGTCCCCACTTTTATCATACAGCTTAATTCAGTTATTTTTGTTCAAATTTATGTTCTCGCCATAGAGCACACAAAAGATTGATTAATCGTTCGGCTTAATGAAGCCGGAAATCTGCAAAAAAAGGTTTTTCTTCACGACATCGCACAATTTTTTCTTGAATATTATTGCTCAGAACTCAGGTCGTTTCTGAGGATTTCTTGGCCAAGGAAAATAGCTCCGATCGATTCATCGTGATAGATTATCTATATCGAATAGCTGAAAACTTTATCGCACAAAGATGATTTATTAACTGATTTATAACGACATCTATTTATCGCTATATAAAGACTGATCAAAATGTTTTCCTCTATTATATGTTCGATTGTTGATTTTCTGGGATCTTTTTCAGTTATTGACTACACTTTACGAGCCTTTTTCGTTCTTCTTGTGATTGGTGAGTTCATGTTATACCTATATACCGTAGTAGAATTTATAAACGATCATCTTGTATGATCCTACAAAAGTCATCAAGCAAAGGGAGTAAATAGGAGGCTAAATCAAAGTTGAGTTCCACGTCTATTTTGCTGATTTTAGCCTTCAGCGCTACTGTATTGCGGCTTACTTATACAGTGAGGTTAGCAGTGCCTGCTTATCCTATGTGCTAATTGTGCTATAGCACAGGGGCCCGGCTGACTTAGGGGCCCAATCGAATGGCTTAAAGCGTTGCATTTTTTTATTATTAGAAAAAATACAAATTCATGTGTTGAAAACGTTAATGATTAGCACAGGGCTACAAATTTCTTAAAACGACTCTGGAGTTTAGGCGTTGATATTTAGCAGTTGAGGCCGCTAGTTTTCAAGCATATCTGTTTATTTTATTCCTTCAAATATCCTTCCTTTCATTGACAGATATTGTCAATCTTTCTGTTTCATTTAAATAAAAGTGTACTTAATAAATTCAACATTGATCTTGTTCAGTGTATTTGTACTGGCTAAGTTTATATTTTAGACTAATATGGTATTTAAACGAAAGAAAAAACTTGAAATATCAATGCCAAAAGACTTTCAACATAAATTACACACCCATTTTGATAAAGATAGTAATACGCTCATCAATTTACCGCCACAATGGACAAGTATATTGAATAATGATGAAATTGGTGCAGTAGCCGCTGTGGCTGCAGCCACACAAGTAATAAGAACTCATCAACAACAACAAAGATATCAACATTTTGAGAGACCAAAACCTTGGGTTGAAGATCCATGTAAACTGACGCCAACAGCTTTAGAAAATTTAAAAGTATGTTACTATGTCCAATAAATGGCCTCTCATTATATAATATCTCTCTTTTTTTAGTTACAAACAATTGTCCGTGGAGGTGGCCAACAACAGCACGCTTCTAATCAGTCAAATGTCGATCGATCAAATACATTGCGTCATACTAGTCCACTACATTCAAACAATAATTTTCAATTTCAGCAACAACAGTTAAATCACGTTCTTCCACCTCTACGTCCAAAAAGTGTCGATGATTTACAAAATCCTCATCACAGGCCTTTCGATTATGAATCAGAAAACGTTTCAAATATGATGATTTATCGTCAACAACAATATTTAACTACAGGACGTAATGCACATTTAGATAAACTGTACAATTTAAAACCGACTTTGTCACCCACTACTCATACCCTCGATTATCCTCCACAACAACGACAACCGAAAAAACCACCAACAACAAACAATTATCAAAATGATCTAATACAACAACAACAACAACAGCAAGATTTTGTTGATGGACCACAAACAATTACAGCGATACCCGACTACGGTAGACTACACGATGGATTATCACCTGCAACACGAAATAATTATAATGTACAACAATCATCATCAAGTGAGTTGCATCAGCCAGCAAAGAAACAGCAACACACATATCAAAACGGGGTGAATGGAAAACAAATAGGAAATGGACAAGCAGCAACTACTGTACCACTGGTTACGACGACAAGAGATAAAAATGATGGAACAGCAAAATTATCCCATGAAGGCGTAAGTGAGGCGTCGATCTCCAATTTTTCTTGAAAATGTACAATTAGTTACGATAATGGAAATATAACGATGAGTACTGTGAAAATATTGTAATCAATCTTGGTTTTGTTATACATAGATCTCGTCTTCATATGAAAAATCGACCTGAGGTTACAGCGATTCTTGCGATATGAGCGATTTGGACTATGAAGAAAACAATCAGAAGCTTTAATATTGATTGGAGTTCCATTCCCCAATTCTCTTATTCCACTGTAACGATTGCACTATGGCTTTTTCATTATGAAAAATGAAGTTATTTTAAGTTCAAATATTTTCTGCATGTTTTAGTTTTTAAACGCACTGCAACTAGTTGTTAGTAAACAAGATCCTCGTTTAATGTATGATCATTTTGTGAAAATTGGTGAAGGTTCAACGGCGATTGTTTGTATTGCCAGCGATATTTATTACAAAAAGCAAGTTGCGATTAAAAAAATGAATATATTAAAACAACAGCGTCGAGAATTATTATTTAATGAAGTTGTTATTATGAGAGATTATAAACATAAGAATATTGTTGAAATGTACGGCTCATATTTAGTTGATAATGAACTATGGGTGGTTATGGAATATCTTGAAGGTAAATAAAAACAATCTTCAATGAAATTCGATTAGATTAACATTGTGTTTTTCTTTTTCAGGTGGTGCATTAACCGAGCTAATAACACCTCTACAAACATCACTTTCATCTCATCTTGCTGTCGATAGTATGATACAACCACGTATGAATGAACAACAAATCGCTACTGTTTGTAAATCTGTCTTGGAAGCATTAGAATTTTTGCATTTAAACGGTGTTATTCATCGTGATATTAAATCAGATTCAATTCTTCTAGCATCCGACGGTACAGTAAAATTGTCGGATTTTGGCTTTTGTGCACAAGTATTGCAAACACAAGTATCAAAAAGAAAATCACTCGTTGGTACACCGTACGTTTCTTTCTATTCTTAAATTGTATTTAATACACGATGATGTCTCATAATTTAGATATTGGATGAGTCCAGAAGTAATTCAACGTACTCCGTATGGTACAGAGGTCGACATTTGGTCTTTGGGTATAATGGTTATTGAAATGGTCGATGGTGAACCGCCTTACTTCAATGAGGCACCATTAACAGCTATGCGTCGAATTCGAGATATGCCACCACCCAAATTAAAAAATCATCACAAAGTAAATAAATCGACAATAGTTTATCTATTAGAATAAATATTTTTATGTAGAAAATAGTCGGCCAAATATTCTGATTACTTTTGAAAATCGTTCGATGACAAGATACAACTAGAAGAGTCATGTCCACTAACTAGTAGAAAGGAATTTATGAGCCTTAATTAAATGTGGAGCTCTTGGTTAGATTCTTTGTCTTTCTAGTATGACTCGGATCAAGTTTTGTAGAAATACTGTCAATAATATCTGATGTTTCTATTATATTCTAGGCATCATCTCGTTTACAAGGTTTTCTCGAACGTACATTAGTTCGTGATCCATTATTACGTGCAACAGCCACTGAATTATTGGCTCATCCATTTTTATGTTTAGCCGGTAACTCGTCATGCTTACAACCATTGATGGGATCATCAAAAACAAAATTTAGTCAATAATTAACAAATAGATAAATCTCTTCACTATCTTTAGTCAGATATTTTCGTTATGAGTATGATCTTTAATCATTGAAATAATAAGGTAATAATTATTTTACAAAGCATTCCAATTATTGTTTTATTTATTCTTTGTATATAATTCATTCATGTTTTCAGGGGAAAATTTTGTTACTTTTTTCATGTAGAATGATTTGTATATATTGTTTTCTTATCCTTTTGACGGCTCATCTATATTGTCAGGAATTGTTTTGCAATAATGTCTTCTTAATTTTTGAAGGGTTTTTTTTGCATCTGTGTCTTTCTGTACTTTTGATCTATTTTACAAACACAAAATAAATATTTCTTTGTATTTAATAGTTATCCAATTTATCAAATCAGTACGCATATCAGACTATTCGAGCCTTTTAAATGTAATTAGCTAATGTACTGATAAATAGCGGGATATACAATATATCCTTTTTTGCGATATATCTTATCTATTTAGATTACCAAGAAAAGCTTTTTTCAGATTTGAATGAAAAAATGTCCATTCACTATAAAAACAATAGAATCATATCCTCTTGCCGTTTCTTTATCTTTAATTGTACACATTCTTGTGATTGTACCGGTTTATTGTATAATGGAAACATTTTTCAAAAGTAGCTGACTTTTCTTTCTTGATTAGGTTATAATCAATTGAAATTGTGCACTTTTTTCGCAAAAAAGTTTTCTCCACAAAAATCGATTCTCTAAAACGTTTCTAACAAGTCTGTTTTGTAGTGCAAACATTTTCCTACAAGATGAGCTATGGGATTACTCTTCGTCTTGATCCGGTACTTATGAAAAAGATTTAAGGCCTCACCCCCGCCCCTCCAAAAAGTCAATTTACGTCGCGACAATCATGCACTGTGACGTGTATTTACCATTGACATGCAATTCTTGCATTTTTATGTTGGTTGCAGGTAATATTTACAAAAAAAACTTGTTTATCGTTTTTCTCAAAACCGAGTTTTTTGTAAAATATCAATCCTGAACAAATTTTTCTTCACTA